TGTGCAGAATATATTTTCTTATGTGCACCAAGACATAGATGGGCATGCACCACAAGTAGAAACACTCTATTGCCACTGGTGGGGATTGCGGGAGCTCTGCTAATCTCTGAGTGGCTGCCCAAGTACCCTGTTTACACGGATCATAGAATCATAGAGCTGGAAGAGACCTCAGGAGGTCATCAAGTCCAGCCCTCTGCCCAAGGCAGGACCAAGCCCAACTAAATCAACCCTAGACAGGGCTTTGTCAAGCCGAGACTTAAAAACCTCTAGGGATGGAGATTCCACTATCTCCCTAGGTAACCCATTCCAATGCTTCACCACCCTCCTAGTGAAATAGTTTTTCCTAATTTCCAACCTAGATCTCACCCACAGTAACATAGCTCGTTGTTCTGCCATTCATCACTACTGTGAACAGCCTTTCTCCGTCCTCTTTGGAACCTCCCTTCAGGAAGTTGAAGGCTGCTCTCAAATCCCCCCTCACTCTTCTCTTCTGCAGACTAAACAGACCGAACTCCCTCAGTCTCTTCTCATAGGTCATATGCTCCAGCCCCCTCATCATTTTGGTCACCCTCCGCTGGACCCTCTCTAATGCGCCCACATCTGTTCTATATTGGGTGACCCAGAACTGGACACAATACTCCAGATGTGGCCTCATCAAAGCCAAATAAAGGGGAATAATCACTTCTCTGGATCTGCTGGCAATGCTCCTCCAAATGCACCTAATATGCCATTAGCCCTCTTGGCTACAAGGGCACACTGTTGACTCACATCCAGCTTCTCATCCACTGTAACCCCCAGGTTCTTTTCTGCAGAACTGCTACTTAGCCATTCAGTCCCCAGCCTGTGACAATGTTTGGGATTTGTCCGTCCCAAGTTCAGAACTCTGCACTTGTCCTTGTTGAACCTCATCCAATTTCTTTTGGCCCAATACTCTAATCTGTCCAGGTCACCCTATCTCTGCCCTTCAGTGTATCTACTTCTCCCCCTAGCTTAGTGTCATCTGCAAACTTGCAATCCATCCCCTCATCCAGGTCATTAATTAAGATTTTGAACAAAACTGGTCCTAGAACAAAGCCTAAGGGCACTCCACTAGAAACCGACCACTAACCTAATACCGAGCAGTTGATCACTGCCCGTTGAGCCCGACAGTTTAGCCACTTTCTATCCATGTTACAGTCCATGTATCCAATCCATATTCCCTTAACTTGCTAGCATGAATATTGTGGGAGACCGTATCAAAAGCTTTGCTAAAGTCAAGGTATATCACATCCACTGACTTTCCCATATCCACAGAGCCAGTCCAAAAATGCCAACTCCAGGACCTGTTGCATACCTTTGCAGAGGTATTGTCTGCCAAGCTGAGGCAGACGACTGTCACAAGTTACCACATAACCACTATCCTGGGGCAGAAGATGTGGAACCCCCATCAACCCCTACCCAAAAAGATGTGGGAAGCAGTTAGGAAAGAGCTTGATGTGATGCTGGACATGGGGGTAATAGAGGAGTCTCATAGCGAATGGCAGAGTCCGATAGTGTTGGTTCTGAAGCATGACAGATTTGTGAAGTTCTGTATAGACTTCTGAAAGATTAATGAGATTTCCTGATTTGATGCTTACCTGATGTCGCAGTGGAAGAACTCTTAGGGTATGTCTACACTAGCCCCCTAGTTCGAACTAGGGAGGCTAATGTAGGCATTCGAAGTTGCAAATGAAGCCCGGGATTTAAATATCCCAGGCTTTATTTGCATCTTCCCATCCATAGTCCGAACTAACTGCCCGCGGCTACATGCGGCGGTCAAACATTAACTCGAACTAAGGACTTAGTTGTACCTCATTCCACAAGGTATGACAGTTAACTCGAACTAAGGACTTAGTTCGAGTTAATGTTTTACTGCTGCGTGTAGCCGCTGGCAGTTAGTTTGGAGTAAGGGGATTTAAAAATGGCGCCGGGATGAGAAGATGCAAATAAAGCCTGGGATATTTAAATCCTGGGCTTCATTTGCAACTTTGAATGCCTCCATTAGCCTCCCTAATTTGAACTAGGGGGCTAGTGTAGACATACCCTTGGAGAGGTTGGGCAAAGCCACCTTTTGAACCACATTAGATCTCACTAAGGGGTAATGGCAAATCCCTCTGACTGTAACTTCCTGGGCAAAGACAGCCTTCCCAACCCTGTTTGGCTTGTATCAGTTTGTGACTATGCCCTTTGGACTCCATGGAGCCGCCACATTTCAAAGATTAATGGACCGAGTCCTACAGCCCCATGCTCAATTCACGGTGGTCTACATAGATGACATCGTAGTGTATAGCACTACCTGGGAAGATCACCTCAAGCACCTTTCCGAGGTCTTGCAAGCCTTGAAGGAAGCTGGGCTTACAGCAAACCCCACCAAATGCAACTTTGGGCAGGCTGCGGTCACCTACCTTGGCCATACCGTGGGAGGAGGGACTGTGGGAGGGGGGCAGCTGAGACCACTAGTTAGTAAAGTAAAGTCTCAGCAGTTCTGGACCACCCCCCCCCCAACTAAGAAGCAAGTGAGGCAATTTCTGGGACTGGCAGGCTACTACCGATGGTTCATACCGGATTTTGCAACCATGGTGAACCCCTTGACTGACCTGACCAGAAAATCCTTACCCCAGAAGGATTGTGAGACTGCTTTTGAGACTCTAAAAGAGCAGCTGGCTCAGGAACCAGTCCTAATTCACCCTAACTTCCAGAACCCCTTCCTCCTACAGGCTACGTCTAGACTGCAAGCCTCTTTCGAAAAAGGGCATCTAGACTACAACCAGTACTTTCAAAAAAGCAAGCTGCTCTTTCAAAAGAGAGCACCCAGGCAGTCTGGATGCCCTCTTTCAAAAAAGCAGTTTGCATTACATAGCGCCTTTTTTCAAAAGAGCACTTTCAAAAGAAAGGCGTTATGCCTCGTAAAATGAGGTTTTCCGCGGCTGAAAAAATTGCCACGTTCTTTTGATTTACTTTCAAAAGAACACAGCAACAGTCTAGACGCAGGGGAAGTTTTTTCGAAAAAAAGGCCACTTTTAAAAAAAAAACTGTAGTCTAGACACACTCATAGTGCCTCCATGTATCTTTCTGCCTGAAAGATAATAACAGTTACGATTGGCCATGTAAAGGGGCCTGGGTTAGGACACTCTGGGGCACCTAGAAGTCAGTCCTTCTTCCACACTGGTCATCACCTCCCTGGATTCAGTTGCATTCACCCTTTTCCAGTTGAGTGCATAAGCCATTTATACATATTGCCATTCTGTACTGCTAATTCCACCCCACCAAATTTTATCCAACCCATTATCCATAGCATTTTCCACTACATGTGCATTGCTCATGCTCGTGTGCTAATAACCCAAAGCCTACAATTTTTGTGCTGAATTTGTACTTCCCAGGACATATTGCCCTGGACTGCTCTGTTTCTCAAAGAAGAGGAATATTCGGTTTGTTTATCTTCACGTGTTTTTACTTCTTACTCACTTTTTCCAAAACGACACTTTAGTCCTCTTGCCAAAAATATAATTTTAAATAAATCAGCAAACTGTATCACAGAGAAAGAATAAAAACCATCCCATGTTGCCAGCCAGCTCTTCACAGAAGCATTGTGTATTTTTAGCTTCCTAGGAATTAATTCTAGCGAAACTTCGGGCAAGGGGCCTTAAACATGTAACACAGGGGTGTTGAGACCACAGAGGGGAAGAGTTTAAGCTGCTCTAGAGCCTGACCTCAGAGCAACTTGGCTCTTTGAACGTGCAGTCAAGGTTCATGGGTTTTGCTCTTAACGTGTCGGGTTCAACTCTGTTTTCTGATGACCCGGGTTGTTTGGTATGGTGCATAGATAGAGTCATGAAAATGCTGGCTGGGGAGGGAGGTTTTGTATGGAAATTTATTATACATAGCCAGCCACATAGGTAGACACTCACAGCAAAATAAGGATAAAGTAAGTTATTTTGATGGTCTTGTTATCCATGTGTGTATCACATACACAGGCTTTTGGGGCAATAGTGTGAAACCTTGACAGCATCACTCATAGCTATATGAATTTTTAACACGGCTCTAATTTATGTTTGTAATATGCAATATACACAGTGTTCGCCTGACTCCAGAACATCCAGGTGAAATTCTCTGTCCTTAATTAAGCAGGACATCAGAGTTGATGATCAAAATGGTCTCTTGAGCCTTGTAATCAATGAATCTGTGCTGTGCGCCATGGGGTACTCACGCAACCTGCCAGCACAGAGCTCTGCACCTGTCCGAGGGCAATAGAAGTGAGGAGCCATCTCCCAGCATCATTATGGGACCCGTTCAGGTCAGGCATTGGAAGATCCATCACAGTCTGGCCTAGGAAGCTGTTCAGAAGTGCTGAGGAATATTATTTAGAATTAGGCCACAGGGAGCCCTGGAGAAATGCATTCGCCAGCCAAACAAATCCCAACCCAACCCTCGCCAGAACCTCACATACTGCACGCAGCTGGCACAGCAGCAAAAGCAGAAACCCAAATGGACCTCTTGGTAGAGCAGTTTGGAATTTCTCCTGTATGAAAATTCTGGTGAAAATGGTTAAATTTGCCAAAAAAGAAGTAAATGTTTTATGAAATGTTTCTCATTTTCTTTTGACATTTCAAAATTTGAAATCTCAAGATCCCAGGAGATCCCTTTTACATCCATGAGTATCTACCATCCACTGATGTGAATGGAGGTATCTATGTTTATTCTTGAGGGGACGGATGCAGATTCAAATCAAGATAGTACTCTGACTAAATGTGCTCATTTGATTTTTCAAATAATCTAACAAAAGAGTGATAGAAATTGACTTTCTATTTAGATTTTTTTCTAACAAATGTTTCTCTTCCAATTTCCCTGTCAGGTTTAGAACAGGTCATCATTTTTCAAATGGCAAAATGTGAAAAAAATGAGGTTCATCAGGAGAAACCTCAACCAAATGTTAATAAATTTCCCTCTTTGACCCTGTTTCACTCAACTCTGCTTTTCATCCTCTAATATGTCCGGTCTCGTGAAAAGATGGCCTTCCCGACAGCGTCTCTAAAGGCTCCTTTAACCTCTTTGTTCCTCAGTGAGTATATTACAGGGTTCAACATGGGTGTCACAACTGTGTACATGAGGGAAATCAGTTGATCACCCTCTGGGTTGGAGCTGAACGTGGGTTTCAGGTAACCCAAAAGGCCTGTTCCATAGATCAAAGTCACCACCATGAGATGGGAGGAGCAGGTGGAGAAGGCTTTACGCCTTTCTGCTGCTGACGGCAGCCTGAGGATGGTGAAGATGATGAGGATGTAGGACAGTGTTATCAGTAAGAAAGGGCCCATAACAAATAGCGCCAGCATGGACAAGCCCACGAGCACATTCTTCCCTGTGTCAGTGCATACCAATGTCTCTAACGGTTGGGCATAGCAGTAATAATGGTGGATGCGGTGGGAGTCACAGAAGGGCAGGCTGAAGAGCCACGTGGTCTGAGCTACTGCAACCAAGATGCCGATGACCCATGAAGTCCCCGCGAGCAGTGCACACATTCGGCCACTCATGATGGTTGAGTAATGCAGAGGGTGACATATGGCCACGTAGCGGTCGTAGGCCATGGCTGCTAAAAGGCAACATTCTGCGAGGCCCATGATGGTGGAGACGTACATCTGGGCTGCACAGCCCACATGGGAGATGGTCTTTTCCTCCACCAAGAGGTGAACCAGCAGCTGAGGGATCACACTGGTGGTGAAGCAGATGTCCACAAAAGACAGATTCACCAAGAAGAAATACATGGGGGTGTGGAGGGAGGGGTTCACCTTTATCACGAGGGTAATGAGCAGGTTCCCTGCCAGGGTGAGCAGGTAAGTCAGAAGAAACACCATAAACAGAAGGATTTGCAGCTTGTTAAGGTAGGAAAACCCCACCAGGATGAACACTTTGTTGGTGGTCTGGTTCTCTCCAGAGTGGCTCTCAGAATTGCTCATCTGTTGGGGTGGGAAAAACAGACACTGAACGTGAGGCAAATAGAAAATGTGGGTGTGAATCAATCAATTCACGTTGGTTTCCTCAGCATCAGGATACTTGCGAGTAAAATCTGCTGCAATTTCGTATGTTAATATGTAACTAGGCCCAATCATCATCAGGCATCAGCTGGTGTCTCTGTTTGTATGGGAATCCAGCTATATCAGGGTAGGTCGGCTGGAGATTAGACCACATGCACACCAGTAGAGCTACAGCTGATTTACAACGCATGGGGATGTGGTTGAATTGGCTTTCATATATCAGGTCCAATATCAGGAAATCTATTCTTTCCCTTTAAACACATTTTCTTTCTGTCTCCATGAAAATTCTAACAGGGAACTTTCATGCTTTCTTTCTTGCTTTCTTTCTAGCTAACAGATTATAGGGATACAGAGATGGGAGTGTTACATCAGAGCTCCTCCAATCCGAGTGGCTGTGGATAAGAAGGCGAGAATACCTTACGTGCAAAATTACTTATAGGAATGAGCAGGCCATTTCCGGTCCCTGGTCTGCCCTATTCTGATGGTGTCAGTTTTGCACATGAATTCCAGCTCAGCTGTTGCTTTTTTCCCCCAGAGGGCGGTGTCCTGGGAAGTTAACATTTTATTCCACTGGATGTTGTGTGTTACCATTCTTGATGTCTGATTTGTGTCCACATATATCACATTAGAAGAAGTGCAGGCGAATGAGCTTTTTACACCATGGCTGGTGTGGTTAGGTCCTATGATGGTGCCATTTGGGGTAGCTGATGTACTACTCTTGCTTTTTTCCCCCAGAGGGCGGTGTCCTGGGAAGTTAACATTTTATTCCACTGGATGTTGTGTGTTACCATTCTTGATGTCTGATTTGTGTCCACATATATCACATTAGAAGAAGTGCAGGCGAATGAGCTTTTTACACCATGGCTGGTGTGGTTAGGTCCTATGATGGTGCCATTTGGGGTAGCTGATGTACTACTCCCATCTCTGCGTCTCTGAGGAAGTTGCAATTTACAAAAGCTTATGCAATAATAAAACTGTTTATCTTTAAGGTTTCTTTTTCTTTGGGAATGTTACCCTAGAGCCATATTCACGAAATGTGATTTCTCAAAGAAGGGCAGATTCTGAGCTCACTCATCTCGTAAGCACAAGAATAGTTACACTAGTGCCAGTGTTCCCACTGCAGCTACCACACACAAAGGCGGAGGCTGTTCATATGGGGAATGTCATGCTGCTGAGCCCAGCATGATGAAGGCCTCTGAAGAGTGAGACACTGGAAGAATCTTGAAACAATGTGGGATTTGGCCGGTTTTGATACTAGGAAAAGGGGATTCTTTCCCGTCTCTTTCATAGCACCTCCCTAAATGCATTGTCTTCTACCACCATAGAAATTCCTATTCCTTAGTTGGTGTAAATCTTAACAGCTCCATGGGGATGAAAAGAGCTACAGTGATTTACACCAGTTGTGGATCTTTTATATCCTGCCTATAAAGAATTTTTCAAGAAGGCTCCTATAATGTAAGAGTCAGTATCTACAATTTATTTTACTTCAAAGTTATTTGTTGAGAGGGAACTTCATTATTACAGGCATGACCATGACATGACAGAGATAAAATTCAAGTGAGTGATAACATATATTGTATTCTCCACACCCTTAGCACCTTCAGTATGTGACTCTCAAAGCAATGCTACTAAGCAGGAATCTAGGAATGCTAGAGAGATGAGACTGGGTTTACATAATAAGTCAGAAATGGAAACTGAGGTCTGCGGATACCTGGAACTATGCCATAAATAAAGGACCATTCTCCAGGAAATAAAACCCGGAGGCACTCACAAAACACACACACACACACACACACACACACACACACACACACACACACACACACACTCAGAATAAAGGGCTCATCCCCTGCCCTGAGAGGAACTGACACCCAAACAAACAAACTCAAAGGGAATCTCAGAGACTAAAATCAAACCAAAGCAAACTCTGGAGGGACACTCTGCAGTGGGCAGCGCACAGAGCAATTTACAAGAAATATTCTCAAACACAGAGGCCTGGAGAAGAGGAGGAAATTCTCCTGCCTCTCAGAAGAGTTACTTTGGGGAACATATTAACACTTGTGAGCACTTTCCTCAGCACAACCACTGCCGTAAATGCTGAGCTGAGGGGGAAATTGCATTTATCCCTCATGGGAAATCCACTGTTTAGATTCAGAGGATTCAATATGAACTTGAATGGAAAACTGAATACTGACATCAACATTAATTAATTTTCTCATGGAAAACACCAATAGGGATTTTGATTTATTTCATTTCCTATCTGACATTTGGACCCGCCCTCAGTAAAAGGAGAAATTTACTCACCATTAGGAATAAGGTCACTGTAGGTTCTTGTCACCAGCAGTGGAGGGATAGTTTCAGAGCTCTTCAAGGCATCCAGACACTGTTTATAAACAGGAGAACATGGAAGCGATGAAGGAACCAGATATTATGTGGAGAGAGTTGAGGTAAATTCAGCTGACAGAGCCCACGACTTAACTTTTGGGCCCAGGGGCAGAGAATGCGCCATGATGGGGTCATGGGAGGGGACTCTCTGGCCAGAACAGATCAGCATGAGCCCACCCAGCTGGCTGCAGCCAGACCCCAATACAAGACCCACCTTAACGACCAGCATTTCCACTCAGAGTCAGTGGATGATGCTGAGGGTTGGGGAACAGAGAAGAGGAAAGACGAGAGAGGAGAGAAGCCAGAAAGAACTCCACAGACACAGCAACAACACAGGCAATGAAGAGAATCATAGCGAGGGGATGGGCATGTCCGGTGCACGCCTGTCACTCTGGCGGGCATGAGACTTCACCTAGTATAATTAGCATAAAAGTGCTGAAGTCAAGCCCAGGACCTAGTGGATTTCTGACTGAGAGGCTCAGAGAGCAACAGGTTAATCGATACACTAACAGACGGACTGCCGGGTGGGTTTGACAGAATTGGAGCCTTAGCTAGCTAGCTAGATGCATGTGCACGCACACACAACCCATGTGCTCAGACACAAAATCAGGCTCTATACATGCACGTATAATACACATGCAAAAATGAAGGGACATGATTTTGCTCTTATTGCAGATGGGGGCATAACGGCTATAGACTTTAGTGGGAGAATGGCTGGGCGCTGAAGTCACAGATTTTTGACCGACCTTGTGTAAGAAGAATCGAGCCATCTCCTAGGAGCAGGCACTGTACCTGTAGCAGGAATCGGAGGTGTTTTTATTTCATTCCCTGGCTTCTGGGACCAAATCCCTGGAGGAAATTTCTTGTCATATTCCTTGCAGGTGGAACAACACTGTCTCAAATGGCAACAAAACAAAATTCGCCAGGTCAGTCATGTCACAGGAACTTGCACCATCCTCGTCAACATCGATATCACGTGTAGTTTCTCTCCGACAATCGTGCTGGGATTCACTGACAGTGGTAAATGGTGGGACACTTTACTGTCTGGAAGGAGGAACGATCTGTCCAAGGTCACACAACATAAGGACTTGGGCAGAGGCAGGAACAACACTCGGCTCTGGGACTCTGGGCCCCACTTCTGCCTCAGAGCCGTGATTTGAAGCTAGGAGCACTGACTCCCAGCCCCACCTGCTCTAACCATTCCACCCCACTCCCCTGCCAGATGTGGGAACCCAGCCCCAGTGTCCTCACTCCCAGACCCCCCTGCCCTACCCACAGGGCCCCTTTCCCTCCTCAAGGGCTAGCCCCACAGCCCAGGGCAGTCAGGAGGTGGGTCCCTTTGGCTCCAGTCAGTTTGCACAGTTTGCAGACGGACCGGAAGGACCAGAGTCAGGACGAGCTCCCAGGGGCAGCAGAACAAACTCTCCCTGGGAGGAGGGAGAACCAGGGACACATGATTGCAGTGAGATGGGGGCCTGACACATCAGCCCACTTAGGGGTCTGCACTCTGTGGGCAGCAGTGTTACCGGCACCATCTGCACAGTCACTGACCCAGCAGGGTCCCCACCGCTGCCCCTCATGTCTAGCCTGGCACCGCAGGAATATCACCATGGCTTCTCCTCCCGGTCATTGGTCCCTTCCCCTCATGCCTCGGAGCCCGCTCCTCAGTGACTGACTATGGCTCTCGTGCGATCGCACGTCTGCTGCCGCCTCGCACTGACAGTATCACACCCTGGCATCCGCCAGCCCCTCATGGCTCCCCGCCTGCTGCTTGCAACACGCCTGCCTGCGCCCACACAAGGCACAGAGCCTGGGATGGCTTGTGAGTGACGCTGACTCTTGCTGTGTGAACTTGTGTCAATTCAACTGCCCCTGTTCACGCTGCAAGGCCTCCTCCTGACACTGTCTGCTCAGCTGTGCCTGTCTGCAGGGTGCTGTAGCCGCCTGGGCCCTGGGCACTAGAGACAACGCGGGGGAGGGGAGATCTTTCCCTGCCCCGACTTCAGTCTCTCTCCCCACCACCAAAATAAAGCCCCTCCCCCGCCTGGTCTTCACAGATCATTTGTTAAGTCTGGGCCTGTCGGTCTCTCATGTTTCTGCTGCCAGCTCCTCAGCCCAGGATTTGTTGTGTTTTATACAACTGGACCGACCGCATGGCTGTGCACTCCCACACATCCTACAGTGCACACAAGAGCTGCCTGTGCTTCAGTCCTGGGACGCAGAGAGCACCGAGGACATTTCTGTGTTCTGTTCAGGTTGTGGCAGGGCTAAGCTGTGCTGTGCCCCGGGGTCAGGAGAACCGAGCCAATGGGAGATGGAGGAGGCCAGACTAGAGAAGCTAGTGGTCTCTTTTGTCCTGGAACACTACGACTCTCGCCATGTTTACACACCACGGAGAGGTCACCAGAAGTGTTGGGGTGATGCGAGTGCAGAAACGGTGGAAGTGAATGTGAAAGACAAACAAACAGACTCCCCAGATGCTAAGTAGCCCCACTACACTGCAGTAGGGAAATTATGTTCCCAGACACCTACAGGCA